AAAAAAAAAAAAAAAAAAAAAAAGAAAAAAAAAAGGCCAGAAAAGAAAAGTGAAACTTTAATACACCATAAAGAGACAGCGGAAAAAATAATAATAATAAAATTAAATAAGTTTAATCTAATTAAATTGTGAAATACATATAAAAATGAATAATTGCAAAAGCTCCCATCTAAACAAGGCGTCGGCACCGATCGACCGACCAAAAGCAGCCCCCACCAATACCCAACCAACCAACCAACCAACTAACCAAACACAACAAAACACTACCCAACACAACCTTCAGCCTTCCTTCCGCATTGCCTCTTTGCAGTTTTATTCTTTTTTTTTCGGAATACAATTACCGGTAATCCAACTACCAAATAAAACCAGCTATATTTATCCTTCCAATCTTTCGACAGTTTTTTCCCGTACTCTCCTCCTAAACACCTCTACTCCTAAATTTTGACAATTGCTGAATAAAAATTGAAAGGATAAACCAGGCGGAAACAACAGTAACAGGAACTACCCAAAAAGATGGTATCCAAACCACCAGCGTCAGCAGTAACAACAACACCACTGACCGTCCTCTAAATTCTGTTTTACTTTGTCTTTGTTGTTCTTATTGCTATGAAAGGAAAATAAAATGAAAAAAAAAAGTAGATCAACAATGGTGGTGAGTTGTGAGGACGAATAATAAGCAACGGAAAATGACAGCAGCAGAAAATTGCAGAACAAAAGGTGTAACTCTCCAAATTAGCCCTGTTCTCCCTCCAATCATTCCTCACTTTCTTCTTCTTCTTGTAACGAAACAGTAAACAATCAGGCTTCACTTAAAATAACATCTCAACCTACAACAAACCTTCCCTTCCTCTCAATCTCCTCCGCCTTCCCCCAATCGGCATAAAGTAACAGCAAATGAAATAAATAGATGAAGAAACAGCAACTGCAACTGCAACGGAAACAGAAACAAAAACAGCAACAACAAACCATATCAGCATCAACATCAGCAAAACAGCGACGACGACAAAAACAACAAAATAACCACAATGACAATCGTCGGTATCACTTTTTCTAAAGAGATTTTGGGAGGGGAGAAAGGAAGGAAAAATAGGAGCTGCTGAATACATCGTAAACTGTTGATGAATCATCTCTTTCTTTTTCTTTCTCTTTTTTTTTGTGTTTTTTCAATAAAACTGAGATTGCCCTTTCTTCTTTCTTCTTTTATTCTTTCACTCTCTCATCCACTTTTTCTTTGTTCTTCGATTTCCTCCACTTAAACTATTACTCAAAGAATAAAAAAAGGAAATTTTTTTGCCACTCTTATTGTCTCCATTTTCCACAAAATTTCTACAGCTCACTATAATGAAATGAGAAAAAAAAAGATAGAAGAGAATGAGAGACAACAACAAAAAAAAACGGCAGCAACAACAATGACGACGACGACGACGACGGCGAAAAAACTCATAAAGTTTTACTGCAAATTATTAATAATATTGAGAAAAATGCAGTAAAAAGAAAGTAGAAAAGGAGGAATGAGCAACTGTAGCAACAAAAAAAAAGCTTATTCTAAGCAGAAACAACAACAATACGGAAGGATATCAATAGGAAATAAGTTGTTATCGTTACTGTTGCCCTTACCGCTGCTGCTACTGTTCCTGCTGCTGCTATACTGGTTGGATGGGTGGATAGATGCATGGACGGAGAGGTCGAAATGAAATCGATCAATCGGATCGATGGGCATTGTTAACCACCAATATGGAATGAATGATTCAAACAATGAATTAACAACAATCAAAACAAATCACTATTTCTGTAGTTTAAAAAAAAAAAAAAAGAAAAGAACAAACAGTAACGATGTAACGAATAATTAGCAGTTAAAATATCATCGAACTGAACAAACAAAAATTCGAAAAAAAAATCGCTACACGAATTAATCAAAGAGAGAGAAAAAAAAGAAACGGCTTCCTCGGCAGTTTTGTTCGACCAGCAATCACCGATCACCGTTACCGTTCATGATTTGTTCGGCAACATCAGAACTGATTCCGAACAACTACCCCCCGTCCATCCGACGTTTACCGGGCTTATCAGCGGCATACCATCATTGTCTACATTTTTTCTTTTATTTGTTTTCTTTATTTCTTTCTTTTTTCGT